CCACAAGCTGCATGAGTTGGCATTTGTCATTTAGAAGAACTGACTTTGTCAAACATTATACAGTGGGTACGGAAAGTATTCAGACCCCTTTAAAATTTTAACTCTTCGTTTCATTGCAGCCATTTGCTAAAATCAAAAAAGTTCATTTTATTTCTCATTAATGTACACTCAGCACCCCATCTTGACAGAAAAAAACGAGAAATGTAGAATTTTTTGGAAATTTATTAAAAAAGAAAAACTGAAATATCACATGGTCATAAGTATTCAGGCCCTTTGCTGTGACACTCATATTTAACTCACATGCTGTCCATTTCTTCTGATCCTCCTTGAGATGGTTCTGCTCCTTCATTGGAGTCCAGCTGTGTTTAATTAAACTGATTGGACTTGATTAGGAAAGGCACACACCTGTCTATATAAGACCTTACAGCTCACAGTGCATGTCAGAGCAAATGAGAATCATGAGGTCGAAGGAACTGCCCAAGGAGCTCAGAGACAGAATTGTGGCAAGGCACAGATCTGGCCAAGGTTACAGAAGAATTTCTGCAGCACTCAAGGTTCCTAAGAGCACAGTGGCCTCCATAATCCTTAAATGGAAGAAGTTTGGGACGACCAGAACTCTTCCTAGACCTGGCCGTCCAGCCAAACTGAGCAATCGTGGGAGAAGAGCCTTGGTGAGAGAGGTAAAGAAGAACCCAAAGATCACTGTGGCTGAGCTTCAGAGATGCAGTAGGGAGTTGGGAGAAAGTTCCACAAAGTCAACTATCACTGCAGCCCTGCACCAGTCGGGGCTTTATGGCAGAGTGTTCCGATGGAAGCCTCTCCTCAGTGCAAGACATATGAAAGCCCGCATAGAGTTTGCCAAAAAACATGAAGGACTCCCTGACTATGAGAAATAAGATTCTCTGGTCTGATGAGACCAAGATTGAACTTTTTGGCGTTAATTTTAAGCGGTATGTGTGGAGAAAACCAGGCACTGCTCATCACCTGCCCAATACAATCCCAACAGTGAAACATGGTGGTGGCAGCATCAGGCTATGGGGATGTTTTTCAGCTGCAGGGACAGGACGACTGGTTGCAATTGAAGGAAAGATGAATGCAGCCAAGTACAGAGATATCCTGGAAGAAAACCTCTTCCAGAGTGCTCAGGACCTCAGACTGGGCTGAAGGTTCACCTTCCAACAAGACAATGACCCTCAATACACAGCTAAAATAACAAAGGAGTGGCTTCGGAACAGCTCTGTGACCATTCTTGACTGGCCCAGCCAGAGCCCTGACCTAAACCCAATTGAGCATCTCTGGAGAGACCTGAAAATGGCTGTCCATGTGCTTCTACTCAATCTTGAGCAAAGGGTCTGAATATTTATGACCATGTGATATTTCAGTTTTTCTTTTTTAATAAATTTGCAAATATTTCTACATTTGTTTTTTTTTTTTTCTGTCAAGATGGGGTGCTGAGTGTACATTAATAAGAAATAAAATGAACCTTTTTGATTTTAGCAAATGGCTGCAATGAAACAGAGTGAAAAATTTCAAGGGGTCTGAATACTTTCTGTACCCACTGTATGTCAGATACCAGGGATAGATTGACATTTGTATGTTCATTACAGGAAATCAATACACACAAACCCAAAGATACCACGTGGCGTGTTTCATGTTGGTGAGAAACAACTAGATTACCATGTAGTACCATGGCCTTCTTTTCTAGATGAAAGTATGTATTTTGTTTAAGGTGCATAAATGATAGCAGACTCTGCATGTAGGGCATTGAAAGTGGTTATTGTCGTGGAGGGGTTTTCAGGGGAATTCAAGAGCGGGCTTTTGTGGTATTTTCAGTCCAATATGAGATTTTTACACAACAACCAACCACACAAAACCACATCATGTTCTTTGCATGGTTCTAACATACATTGAGTGACCTAATTTTAACCAAACCTGTTTAGCATATCTAAGCATTATATAAACAAGTATCCATAACAGACATGACTGGAAATATATAAATATAACACAATCATATAAAGTATGAATTGAAACTGAGCAAACTCCATCTGCCATGTGATATGGCTGAAAACTCCAGAGGAAATGCTATAAGTGGGCTTTGAGTTAAGATTGTTTGTTCGTCACACTGTGGTTTTCAAGAGCAAACTTTCAAGCTCTATGTCTTCATGAGTTATGAACAGATTTATAAACAGTGATAAACCTGCTTGTTAATGAATGCTTCATAACACACTGTAACAATGTGTTCATTTGTGTTTTCAAATATCACTGATCATAATTACAGCTATGATACAGTGTTATCAATCATTTATTAACTGTCTATACACAAGTTATACATGCTTACAGGAGAAGTTACAATCGTTGACAGTTGGATCTATCAGCAGAAATAGTGTATTATATTCAACACCTGAAAATAAGAATCATTGCATTTTGTCAGAATGAGCCGTGTTTATCTACAGAGGGAGCAGGTCCTCCATGTTGAACTGCCATGTTTCTACAGTAGCTCAGAACGGACAAACCAACACTGACTCTAGACAGGGCCTTGGGTCAAACATTTGAATTGTATAAAAAGTTCCCAAATTTTTATCAGGAAAACTCATCTCTGAGGCTTACAGGAAACAGTCCTGCAGTTATTGTGTTCACTATTTTGGGTTAATTGCACTGTTTGTCAGTTGTTCTCTACTGTTATTGTTATGGATTGAATATAAACTGAATATGAAATATTTATAAAATATGTGACTTAGTCAGGGGTTGTCAGTTTACTCACTGATAGAAAAGGGGCCCCTTCAAGAACAAAGTTGGGAACCAGTGCTTTAACAGACACTTGGCATGTCCTTATATCTGCTTACAACTACATTATGATGTCTTAGAAGACATTTATGAACTGTTTATATGATCCTCATAACTTATAAATGGTTAGTGCATAAAAGTCAAAGCTTTTGGTTATTTTTAGTTCCTTTGCACACTCTCATGCTCATACTGAAGCTTTCTGTTCTGTTGAGTTACATGACTGATGCTGCATACTGATCAATAACGCAGGAATACCATAAACGCTGACCTGACAAAGACAACGATATCTTTGGTTTTTCTATTTCTACTACTGCTGTTTTTGGGAAACAAGCTCAGTGAACTATTGGTTAACTCCAATGTCTGAAAATCACACATCAATAGTACAAAGTAACCTGAGCTCTGTCACTTGACTACCATGTGACTGGTCTGAGGCGGCTGCAGACAATAATACCCTACTAACACAAGCACTTGAGGGAGCCACAGCTGCTGGGTCACAGAGAAGGGTGAAAGATGGTGTGAGAGTTTAGATATGGAGGCATGCTGAGAGATAGAGCGCTGGTATGAAAACAATAAGTGAGCCATTTGCTTGCATGTTCCTGTATGACAAAAAAGTACTTTTGCATCAATGCCAGTGGTTGCTTTAAAGGATTCTATAGAGCATCTGAAAAAAAAAGTAAACACAGCACTAACTGACATATTTTATGAATATTTCATTTTATATTCAATGCATAACAATAACAGTACAGACCAAGTGATAAACAGTCAGTTTACCCAAACAGTGAACGCAATGACTGCAGGGAGTTTCTGTAAAACAAGAGATTTTGATTATTTTGAGCAGATTATGAATATTTTATCAGATGTGAGTTTTCCATATATTTTTATAAACTTATATAACCTTTTGAACTACATACTTCACTGTAGGACGGGGCTGTTTATCAGAGTAAAGGCTCTGTGAATATATATATTATGATGATAACATATTATTATAACTGAGAGATTTTTTAAAGTTTATATCTTAAATAATAATAATCATTTGTAAATCCTTTCGACAACCTCCAAAGAGGTGTGTATTCATATATGTATTTGTTCCAGCCTAAATGTTTTTACCAAAACGTATGTGTGTAATCTTCTTTTTTATAGCATTTACAACATTGTACATGGTATGATTCATTTCCCCAGAGTGGCAGAGGCTCACGGGGTGGATGCATGTTGATCTGATACCATCACCAGCATCCGTTGGCAGATAAACCTGATCTTGTGCAGCTGTGGATGGTGAGAGGGCACAGAAAAAGCTGTGACTCTCAGAAAAGAGAAAGAACCAACTAGGTCACCTGTGTAGTAATGGGGCCTTTTCTCTGCCTTCATTTCTCTCAAGAGTCTGACCTGACCTTCTGTCAGGTTAAGTTCATGATATAAAATGGAGAAACAGTACATATATTAATTAAATCCAGTTAAACTATATTGAATACTAGATATTATGGAAGCTAATTTGTGCCAGGAAGGCTAAAAAATTGTAAAAAGTTAATATAATTTAAAAAAATACCAATATTGGATGTCAAAAATGTATATATTTTGTCATAAAAAAAACTTTTGACCTGATGGTGGAACTACATGAAAAGTCAGGGGATCACCCAGCAATGAACCCAAGATGGACATAAATGTCCATACCAACAAACCATCCTGTAGTTGAACCACAAATATGAACCTCATGGTGGCACTAGAAGCAGAGTCAGGTGGGCAGTGTTTATACTGTGTTCACCAAGAATGTTTGGACAATTTCAAGCAATCCATCCAATAATAAGGTGCATGACAGTTTTTTGGAAATGTTGAATTTCCTTTTGATGTGTGTAATCTTAATGTTGATATGTCACACTGATAAAAAAAGAAAAGAAAAAGAAAATTTCAAAAAGGTTACCAATCCCTGGTTGAGAACCAAGTGGTGGACTGACTGACTGACTGGCAGACCACTGAAGATTGCCATCTATACAAGCTAGCAGCTAGCGTGGCTAATAATTATGTCAAAATGTATTCTACTTACCATTTCAGAGTTTTGATTGGCTGTTATACAATTTGGATACACTGTGATTATTATTTTTGTATAACTTGTATTTTTATAGAACCTGTCTAAAATAAACTGCCATAGCATGATGCATGTTAATACCATACAGTGTTTATTCTACTTGCCAAAGTGAGAAAACAAACACTGCTAGAGAAGATTAATAATATGTTCATTTTAATCCAAACTAAACCAAGGACTAAGAGGTAGCATATCACTGCAGCAAATACCATGATACCACCATTGTGGCACAACAATTACAAAACCAGGACATGCCAACCAACAAAAGCTTGAAACCAAAGCCGGGCGGGGTCAGGGGTCACAGAGGGTTTTCTTTGAATGGTGGTTTGGAGGAAGTAACAGTGAGGGCAACATGACAGGATGTTGGTATTCATTACGCACTACCAGCCAACCATCCAACCAGTCTACACTACACTTACACGGGGTTTTACGTCGAGAGAACTGAAATTGTACTCCCAGGGCATTTCTTTGAATTAAATCTGAGGTAGTACAAAAATTCCCCAGAGACATTTCATTGAAGGTTGTGGTAGGAAGTAAGTTGAACAAGGTTATTTTGTTTTACTCCAAACTTTACTGAAACAGCTGATGTTTACAAAGAATGTACAGATTTAATGTTGCCTTGGACATGAAAACCAAAAAGACAACACAAGCCATGAAATGGGCATAGCTAAAAAGGAGTCTGCACCACATCCTCCTTTCGTAACTCTCTACACAAAACGTTTTAAAAGCAGATACAAAGAACCCTCAACATGAAAGAAAATTTGCGTGTAAAAATTGTCCTCAAACCACTTTTTTGTTTATTTGGGATCAAACTATAACCTGGTTACAATGTTCATTTCTAGAGCTAGCTTTTATCAGAAACATAAAAAATCTAAACTCAGTGGAAGCCTAGTGTCTACAAAACAGTAAATGTCCCGTGGCAGGAGGTAACGGTAAGTGCTTTTTGCTTAGAGAGGGGCTTGCCAGATTGGCATTCATACCTTCCAACCCCAATACAGGAAAGCCTTGAACTTGAAACAGGATGTCTGAAAACCTATCAATATAATAAATATAAATACATCTGAGGTTTTCTACAGATTGTGAAAAGGACATGACAAAAATAGCTTTGTTCTCAAACTCAATGCACTCGCATAAATAAAGTGTAATAACATTAATTACAATAGTTATAATAAACCTTAAGCTTTAGGAAAACCAAAGTATGCTTGGCCCTTTGAAATGTAAGGCTTGGGCCCCTAAAACATGTCTAGTTTTCTTTTATCTTCACAGTAGATGCACGTTGACACAACGATGAGCAGAGATACTCATGAACCATGTGATGCAATGCAATGAGTGACAAGTTCAATCTGAAAATGTGTCGAAATATGACTGTGACACATTATTTCATTTCTTTGGGGTAACAACTTAACACAGTTCTCCATTAACCAAACTGAGGAGTCAAATTGTTCTCGTAGTAAACATCTGATTGGCTCAAAGTTTACAGTTCGGCCTCTGTTTAACTTCATGAGTGAAAGAACTGACTGAAGATAATGTTTTCTTTAAAAACCTCATTCCCAAGCATGATTTCCTTCAATGCAAAATATTATTATGATAAATTATTATGAAAATAACTGTAAGTCAAGAGAGAAAAGCTCATTTATACAAGAAATATTACTAAAGTAGAAAAACTGTCCGTTGTATAATGTGTAAAGTTAATTTTACTTGACAGCTGCTAAATGTGGTGGTAGAAAACAAACAAACATATTGTCCCAGTTAGATAGTCCAACCTTTTCCATATTTAATAATTCATTGATGGCTTCTTCCTGAGAAAAATAAAATAAAATAAAAAATAGTATAAAATGAAAAGGATGAAGAACCTTATCCAGAGTGTGAAGGAAAACAGAGGTCTAAGAATAATATTCAATGCACACAAAAGTAATTTAAAGTCCCAGCCGTAGTTTATAAATATGTAGCCTGACAGGTGGTGGGAGGAGGAGGAGGAGGAGGAGGAAGTTCCTATCAGCAGTAGCCAGAAACAGAAAAGCCAGACCGAGAAACGAAGACCTGGAGCTGCATCTCTCCGTGGTGATGATAAGGTGGTGAATGAGGAGGAGAGATAGTTGGAACCGGACATCACTCCATGATGGCTCGGTAGATGACAGGCTCAATGTAGTCCTCTCTGTATCGAGAGTTAATGACTCGTTGCCTTTTGGAGTTCTGTTTGACGTCGTTCTGTGTGAAGAGCTCGAAGCGCATATCGGACGCCACCGACTGAGGACCAAAAACACCGGAAATTGAAATGAGTGCTTGTTGGAGATAAAATATCTCCAACACACAATTAGCTAGGTTATAAGTCAAACCTAGCAGCACCATTACTTAGCATAAAAGCTTCAGAGACCTTTTTGATAAAATGGGAGATTTTTACCATTCGTGACTTGACTCGTTTAGGCAGATCCTCGTCTAGAGTGTAGATATCTTCTCGCTTGACAGAGATTTGTGATCCATCTTCAAACTCCACCTGATTGGACGCACCAACGCAGACACGCTTACTTTTACATGGCAATTTAAGTGCTTTACTAACATGCTGCAACGCATCACTTTATGATATGATATTAAGTGTTAAACTGGGTCGTAAAACAACAATATGAAGGCAGTTGCATTATTTCAGTCAACAGACCACCGACATAATTAGAGGAGAAACTGCATAATTAGGCTAACCAAGTAAAAGCACTTTACTTTTAAGATATCACATATTGATGAGCAAGCTCATCAATTTTGAATGTGTCCTGACATTTTTACTGTTAACCACAGACCACCCAGCGTTTTTGAGGTTAAAGAACATAACCCAACATCCTCTGATGACTAAGCTGTTTGCAGTAGATGTCAGTGTCAGTGACACAGAAAGAGAAGAGACGGGTGAGGGGAGGTTTACCAGGTACATGGGGATGGAGTGCGAAGTTACAAACTTGGCTCCATAGATCAACCCATCTGTCCATCGTACTTGAACAGCATCACCTGCTGCGGGTGGACCGAGCCGGACACAGTCACGGTTCTGAAAAGAAAGCAAATGGTGAACTCTGGCTGTGTATTAGACAAGGATACTAAACAGGAAACTGAAATTATATAAGCTCATATCTGTCACTTAAGTCTCGCTAAGTTTCTCTGTGCGTGTGTGTGTGTGTGTGTGTGTGTGTGTGTGTGTGTGTGTGTGTGTATATATGTACAACTACACTTCACCCCTTAATGTATTTTCATTTGACAGCGTAAATCATGATTAGAAGCAATTCTAAACCTCAATGTCCTCTGGGAAGAGGTTGTCGCTGTATGACCCGTCGTCGAACACAACCTCGTAGAAAGTGGCTGTAGTCAGTTCCACCACCTCGCTGTGGTAGTAACGGCTGTTTTTGTGTTTACAGATCACCCTTTGTCCCACTGCCAGCTCTCGCATGGAGGTCTTGTTGCGCTAGGGAACAGAAACTGTACGTTAGGCTGCAAAGCTTATCACTCCCCAGCAATAACTGTCACAGGACAGATGGGTGGTTGTAGTGCAACAAACAGCACACATCTATACAGATAGCTCAGAAATGATTAATCAACTGAAACAATATTTGGACAATAATGTGTACCTAAGAAATGATACTGCTCTCTCCGTCATCATAAGCAAATCCTCAACTGTACTGTTCTAACAAGCCCAGACTTGTAGTCACATAGCTCAATACCACAACAGTAAGAGACAAAACCATCACAGGAATTCTATCTGCATTAATTTTGTTGCTGAATATCTGCTGACAGGAACCAACAGATGTCCGTCTCTCCCAATTAGTGAATCAAAGCAGCATGAACATGTACAATAGTAAAAATCCCTTGGGTAGCCTTGAGAGCTTAGAAAAAAAGTCTCCCAGCTATTTTTGTGCTGCACGGCTGACTTCACCAGTGCTGGAAGCTAAGATGTAAGGCTAATTAGACGGTCTTCACAAATGCGCTCTTTGTCAATAATCTACAAATACATGGGAGGCATTTTAGCACCTCCTTATCCATCTTATGAAATAGAAAATAATATTTCTATTCAAAATAATATGTGGCTGGAGATAATACAAGTCAAATTCTGAAAAGCACAAAAACAAATGACAATGCAGTTCTTATACAGCAGTAAAAATTATTTTAACTCTCAGCAAACACAAACAGCAAGAAAAATGATATTATCAGAACAGTGGGAGTACACGTTGGTATTATGTTTGTGACTACACATTACGTCACCTTCCATTCCAGGGAAGGAAAGGTAATTTACGATGGAGGAACTGAGAAAACCTTAAGTGAGTCGTGTCTACATGCAACATTAGTAACATACAATATGATGACAGCACCCAGAGGCAAGATGGAGAAGCTCTCAAAAAATGTTTTTGGTAGACAAAGGCTCTCTCAAAAGCAGAAACATAGTAAACTTGTTTTTTTCCCCACAACATGCATGTCAGTTCTCAAAACAGTGCTTGTGGAGTCCTTTCGGTAGGGAATTTTCATCTAAATAAGATAATCCAAGCTAAACAGTGAGATTAAACACAAACAACAAGTGAGTGTGTATCACATGACCGGCTTTTTGTTTCTTCTTACAATAAATGATCTAGTTGACCCTTTTTTCTCACACATACATTTTTTTAAAAGCCAATAATGTAAACACAGCTTCAGAAGATAATGTATGCAACTGTGTGACCTTAAATCTAACTATGTTTCAGGTATGTTACCTCAGGTATAAGGGGCGCTCTGTGTCTGTGGCAGGTGATGAAGACTATGAACGGCCAGTCATCTGGGTGCATAAGGATACCAGCTGCTTGCGCGCAGGTGGGGTGAAACGCTGTGGAGCAGCGCCCATGGGAGCACTGGACACAGCAGCCCTTCACCTCCCTCTTCATCCGTTTCCTGCAGTGTGCACACTTCTACCAGGGTGACACAGACACAAGTGTGGAGGGGTGGAGTAGGGGGGTCAGGAGGAAAAGTTATGAGAGACAGGTTAAAGCAGAGGAAGTACAGGGGAAGGAAATGAGGAGAAAGGAAACAAGCCAAACAGGGAGGGGATAAAGATAAAAAAAGTTATCAAAAGGAGCAAAAGACACGCAGACCCAGACACGAACTGGAACACAAATATGTGAGGAGGAAATTACATAACTTCCTTTTCATAATTTAATGAGGTTCTGACATCATATGTATTTATTTGGAAGTAGATACATTGAGAACAGCTCCTTTGAGAACAAGACCTATAACAATGAAGACAATATTGTGAACCAAGTCCTGATTTATTTCCAACACATGACTCATACACAGGACACAAGGTAAGCATATACTGTCGGCCTTTCACATTCTTTTCTAGAGAAGAACCTGATTAGTTGTTGTGTACTATGACCATCAAATGTGGTCAGAATGTTACGCAGTCTATTCATTCAAAAAGATCCAAGGGTGATATCAAGAAGTGAAATTGAGTAAGGGCAACATCAGTTTCACTATAGTAAAGTTTGTGCTCAATGAGAAGTACATTTATTTATTTGACAGTACAGCTGCTTTGCTGTACCAGAGTTAGCTATAAGCTAATTTATGTCTGTAGACCCTGCTCAGGAAACAGAGTAACACTTCTGTTAAGAAAATAAACACTGCAAGAAAATGTTCTCTAATGGCATCTGAGTACATCTCTGTTTGCCAAGAACAGAATCTGTGTATGGGTCAAAAGTGTTTGGCAGTGTACAACCCCACTCTACTGCCGTACACTGTGACTCTTCAGCTGACAGCACGGTCAGGAGCCCGGCAGGAGAGATTTTCATAACTGAACTTTCAGCAAAACGCCAATTTTTTTCTTTCTCTGTGTGGAAATCTGATGTTTTCACGTCGCAGATAACGAAGAAAGGGATTAAAACGTGAGGTAGGCTATAACATAAGACTCCTGTTGGCGGTTAAGGAGTTCAGAGTGGCGGTGAGCTGAAAGAAACACTAGAGCACAATACTGTATTGTCAGTGGATATTCACATTAAAGCAGAGTTTTGAATGAGAGAAACAGTACAAAGTAAAGTAAATTTCAATTTCAGCATTCTGGCACATCAAATCAACAAGTATGACCTTCCTGCTCAAGGCTACACAACAGATGTCCTAAATCTAAATCAATGCAGTTGAATCAAACCTACAGCAGACTGTAACTGCAAGGAGTCTTACCAGTTTGAACCGTGGCAGCGGGATTGCAGAGAGGTCAACGGGGCACCGCTCAGTGATGTTGACAAAGCGAGCTTCCAGCACAGTGATGGCACACAGCACATGAACCCACCTGTGTGAAAGGCAAACATGAAGTAGATTCAGGACAGTTCAATGTCCAGGGTGCAATGCCTCTTGGAATGTTAGAACACATTCAACAACGTGGTTAAATAATCAAACATTGTGTGTGGTCCCATCTAATGTTGGGACTACAAGTTAATGTCCACATAAGACCATGTGATGCAGTTGAAAGCTCAGAAAGAGCCAGTAATCGGACCTTGAGCTGAGAGTAATTGTCATTTATATCTTGTTGATTAGAGAAGAATCCAAACACTGCAGTTTAAAGTAAGTCACTGGTGGCATAAAACCATGTGAAAAACCTAGAATTCTACTGTTTCATGGTATTTCACATAGTGAAATAGATATTCACAAGTGGTCCAAAAGAAAACCCCAAGAATTAAACATCAAAAGAGGTTAAATTCTACACTATAGTTGACTATATACAACTGATAGTATAGATAATATGGTACATTTTTCTGAACAATAGGAAGAAGCCACAACCATTCGCTATGCCATGAGCCATTCAAGATAGATGGCTGATGGGAAAATGTTGCTTCTGCCATTTCCTGTCATTTCAACTGACATTCACTTACTGCGCCCTACACTGAGCAATAAACTAGTAACCACAGGCTGGGGGAGTAACAACCATGCACACACCCAAATCCACTGTGTACATGAATGAGTATGAGTGAGTGTGTGTGCTTGCGCGCACATGCACTTGTGTGTGTGAGTGCCTGTGTGCACATTTGTGCATTAAGCTTGAGGGGCTCGATACACCAGATGGATTTCAGCAGTGACAGACTGAGGAAACAGACTTAATGCGGTCAAAGGAGAATGAATGGTGGGCACAACAGTCTGCTGTGTACCAACCAGTCACACTCACTATGTCTGGGCCGCTGTGTAAACATCATAAATCCTTTTTCAGTACTTCTTCCCATAGGTAAGTTTAGTGACTGTGACCATAGAAGACAATCTAATAAACAGGGTCAGGGTCATATTTTCTTAGAAAAAGGGAAAGCTGAAATGATGTTTTCTATATTTAAGATTAAGATGCCACAACCTTTAAGAAGGTGTTGGGGTACTGCAATGGAAAACACTACATGTCAGTGGTGCATAATGTTGCACTAGTAGTTGTCAAACCAATAGCCACTTTCCCACCTGTTTTACATGTTTCCACATAAGCCTGATCTTTCACTGTCTAATGTCCAGCCTGCTCATCCTATTTCAAAAGGAAATCATATCATACGATAAAGTTTACATTACACATTGAACATGATCTTAAATTATTATCTAAAATTGTACTGTTCCAAATTAGGGGACCAGCTCAGGTGGTGGCAGCTCTACAGCCTGCTGGTATTGCTTCAGTGTTTCCTCTATGTTGATTTTGGAGCGGCGGCCCGCCGCTGTTAAATTTCTGCCGCCACGGTATCAGAAATGGGGCCGACGCACAATGTAGTCACGGTTGCCTTTTAAATGATCCTGCCGACATAATGCACCCCCGTTGGCTGCAGCTCACATTGCAATTTAACAACAAGTAGAACTATTCAGAGGTTATTGGGGCTGTCCAGTTTAACTCCACATACGGACGGGCCTGCCCCCACTGCTAAAAAAAAGTCCTAGAGGAAACACTGTACTTACTTGTCATTGTTGGCTCTCTGCAGTGCTCCGCCTCTTAAGGAACACAGACAGCAGTCCTGGGAGGAAGTAAAACAAAGAAATGTGTTATTCTCAAAATACCAACTCTGGTAACTGACCCATGTATCTTTATCACATCTAAATCCTGATGTCTGGATATATGATGTTCAGCTGTATATTATTCATGGCTTAAACTGGGGATAATGCAATCTCATGTACTGGATCACATGGATTATAAAGCTCAATCTGCTGCTAAATCTTGTAACACACTGCGCACCTGGTATAGCAGCTGTTAGAAACGCCTCACTGAACTTTCTTAAAAGTTGTCCGAAAGTACAGAGTAGCATTAATAAATATACAGCGGCCAACAGGTGCAGCAATTCAGGCAGTTTGAAGACAAATTATGATTCCTTAATTTCTCACAAACATAAGTCTACAAACTATATTATCTTTTATATTTCTTTTTATCAAATTAAAGAATCCCTTTTCATTTCTTCAGTATAAACAGGTCAAAAGAATGCAAACCATCTTGTGTCATGCTTAAAATAAAAAGGAGGAACATGGAACACAACAGAGTACAGGAATGTTTTGTTCAGAACTATGAGTATTTTAATTTCCTTGTTGCGAAACTCATGTCTGTGTCAAGTGTATGTCCAACAAAGTCAGTAGATCACCCTCTCCCGTTTAAAAAGTATCACAATTAATTTTTCCTCTGCAATTTAATATTCTCATGACATAGCTTTACATTCCTGTCGCTTTGCCTCTATATCAGACATTTATTTTAATCTCACCTCACCTCTAAAGTGCTGCTGTTGACTGACAACAGCATTTAAACTTCAATATGTTGTTCATGGGCTCTCTAAATCCTGTTCAAACCTTCCTGTTGCAACAGTTTCAGTCCAACACACCCTTCTCCACAGATATTGCACATAACACTACAGGGAAATAGACTGAATATCACAGGAAACTCCTGAAAGTCAGAACTCAACAGGTACCAAATGACTGATACGAAACAGAGGGGAAAAAACAACTTGATGGTGACTGATGTAGTTTTCAAGCCATGTTACATTAGGAATGGCTACAACTCATTTAAGAAAATCTGTTATCATTAAATGCTCTAATATGCCTATATAATATACTTTAATAAGAAAAAAATCCATTACCTTAAAGAATCTAAAACAGACAGTGCGGACAACTTTGAAACAAAAACAGTGTGACGCGATTAAAGTCCATTTGTCCATTGAAGTGTCACAACAAACTGTAAAGTGAAGCATTGCCCACTGGTGGTCAAAAGCTGTTTGTGCCTAAATTGGGCCACATTCTGCGAATGTTTAACAACAATCTTTTGTTCTGAGCAGGCAGGAAAGCAAAGGAAATTTAGATACATTTTCTAAACAAAGTTTGGAAAAACAAATCCCCCAAACAATAACACACAAAGGAAGGGAACACTCTCACTGTCTCAGAACAAAGAAAGCAATAGTATAGAGAGTATAAACTGTTACTTAGTTCAGCACAGGATATCTTTGTAGTTTTGTTCTGGTACATAACGGTTTATACTGTGCTTTTAGGTAAAATAAAGACTGATTTTAAGAGACTCAATCGGTGCCCAGTCATGGTGCCCACACATTTTTGTTTGATGTACTTAAAAAGGCAAAGCAGAGCTGCATTAAAACAAAGGAACCATAATGATAGTCACATTGACATTACTGTTGTTTCAGCTGCAGCAGCTGCAATCCACTTGCATTTTAAAAAATTCCCTGCATGCATCGGTGGTATATCCTGTCACCTGTGGAAGTGAGGTGTGAATATGTACAACCATGTGGTTTTCACTCTAAGCGGTTCCTCCAACAGTTTTCACTATTTCATGTTTAATCAGAGAAATAAACACTAGTAGACATGACACATGTAAGGCCAGTGCATAAAATGGCATTGTCTAGAAATAGTTATTCTTCTAACTGATACTAAAACTCAAACTTTACTTAATCATATTTCTCTATGATTTCCAATCAATTTTCACAAACACACACAACTCTGCTGCTGTATGTTTTGTGTATGTCATCAGTATGAGGAGCAATTTAATTTATCTTATTAAAATAATTACTGTCTATTATAGGCAGCCCAATTAACTAACCTCAGTGATGGCATCTGCCTCACAGCGGGCACACAGCCAGTCGTCAAGCTCTGCGTCATCCCCAGACACACCGTAGCAACCTGAGCAGGAACAGAAAAGAACATGTCACACAGTCACCTCTCATAGGCTTCATTTCACAACAGGGTTACTCATGATTTTTGGCTGGTTATTAAGGAGAACCGGAAAATCAGAGTATTTTATCTATGAGAACACAAACAAAGATAAGGAAATCATCTTGTGGCATGCTTGAAATAAAAAGATGAACAGAGATTTTTACTTTTTGTAAGTGCTTAATTGTGTCCAAAGAAATGCAAAGTGTTTGTGGATGTGTGAGTGTTGTGTAGTGTGTGTGTGTGTGTGTGTGTGTGTGTGTGTGTGTGACAATCTGAAGGTACTGTATGTAAGACGTAGTTCTTTTAAAATACCTCAAGTGTTCCTACATATGCATTTTAATAGATACTTGTTCATCACTTACTGGTATGTACGCGGACGCAGCACTGGGCACAGCTGACCAGCCGGCTGGTCCCGTCCTCTGCTAGATGGGGGTTAGACAGCAGTCCCTCCCCGCTATCATTTGTCTTGCTGGTTTGGGTGTTGAAACACATTTCCGGGATGAGCGGTTTGGACCACTGGCGGCCCCCTGGACGGTTCACCAACGTCATGCAGGAATTCCCACTACTGGACTCCGACTATATTAAGAAATATACATATACCTTGTTAAAAAAGAAGCATATAATTATTACTTAATTTAAATATTAATTTTGACAAAAGGTACACTTTTGCTCATTCTACAACAAACATAACAATAATGAGCCATGAAAGCCATAATCTAAGTAATGCCTTAATAAAGACATCTGTGTTTTTCACTTGAGCTTTGATATCAAAATAAGTCATCCAAATTGATCCAGATTGTATTTTCTGTTCCTGGTTCTAATGGCCATGAACCCTGACAAACCACTGCATTACACAGTCCACCACAGTATTTTCTCTGAAATGGCTGAATGTGTGTCTGCTTTAAAAAGGTTGATTGCCATAAATGCCAATTTATGACTGTCCACTTGATATAGATGAATCCTTTGGTAATGATAACACTAAATAATAGAACTTCATAAAAGCTTAAAATGCTTTTAGTCACCTGGTGGTAGGTGTGGAAGAGCATGCAGATGGAGCAGTAGGGGGCCCGCTGGCCCATGCTCTTGTTGTACTCTTTTTCTGCCTGAAGGTTATATGGCCGACACTGCCACAGCTGGGTTAGAGGCTTTGCCCATTCCTCTTTCTCCTCTTGCTCAACCTCCACATCTACGTACACTTCTACAGATAGGAGGATGGGGTGAAGTACAGAGGGGTAGTGTGAATGAAGGAGGAAAAGGGTGGTGGAAGCGTTGGGATTTATAAAAAATAGGCGTGAGGGTAAGGATAGAGAAAGTTAGTGCTTGGTCAATTGGCACCACACAAAATACTACTACATTATCAATATGGACTAAAGAACTATGTACCATCGTCACTGTGCACCTCTCTGATGAGAGGGTGATGACGGGGCAGCTTAGGGAGCTGTGCCTGCTGCTGTTGCTTCTTCACAACTGACTTGCAGTATGACTGCTCTTCTGCCACCTGCTGGAGCAAGAAGCATATAGCAGGATAATGCTTAAAAAAAAAAAAATAAAGACGGTATACGGTATCTGTAGCAATGAACATATCAGCTTAAATAAAGCTCCCTAATTCTGAGGCATACTGGGAGCTCTGTACTGGTGTGCAAACATTTCCAGATAAACACTGCGTGCATTGATCCCTTTTGAGAATTTGGTCACAGCTAACAAGTACTTACATGATGATTCTGAGCGATCACCTTCATCTCATCAGGCATTGGTTTCCTGACAGGAATGGTGTCTTTCAGGATGATAATGCCACTATCCGCAAGGGGGCATTGGTAACTCTGTAGTTTGAACAGCATGAATAACATTGAATGTTCAGGCAGACTTCAGGATAATGCCTGATAAAGGTGTATTCTGCCACCAGAGAGATCGATGGATTGTTCTGTTAGTAGAATCAGTAATAATGCTGAGCTCAAAGAGATAAGTAGGCAAATAACATGCAAGGAAAATGCACCAGTACAGAGCCACCAAAAAATTTGTTGCTGTTTTTTTTTCTTGGGTGTCTACATGCATAGTAGTATTATGAAGGAAAGACACTGACTAACTGAAAGTATCTATGAGCAACAAATATAAACTTAACAAGTTTATATTTGCTCAGGAGCAACTACAAGCTATTTTAGAAAGTTTGGTGTTAAGTTGACATTGAATGCATGCAGCAAAGAACACAAGCTGTGCTAAAACATGCACGTGCCACAGTGTACAGGAGCGCCTAACATTTTAACATTTTAACATTGAATTTCACCTGTTGCATTTTGTCAATGTATTTTCTTTAAAAATAAAAAAAAGAGAAAAAAAAACCCAAAAAGAACCCCAGACCTTTCGCTTGTTGTTTTTGGGTGCCTCCATCTCCATTGTGCTCGACTCGCTGGGTTGTGTTTGAGTCGGAGAGAAAGCCGACTTGCTGGTGGGCTCAACTTCAGGCTTCTCCACTTCAGCATGAGCCTCAACGGGCACTGTTATTTCAGGCTTCTCCTCCTTTGGCTCCTGCTCCAGAAGACTCTGTGCTTCTGATTCATTCAGTGCTAAATTGGTAAGTACCATCTTGGATTCTGGCTGTGGCTCCGTTCTTTCACAGCTTGGTGTCTGAGTTGAGGACTGAACTTGCATGTGTGATGGCGTACAGATTTTGTGTTGGAGATGACGGGGTTGATGCTCTCTGGCATAGCTGTGCACTTGCAGCTGTGTGTGAGGCTGCTGCTGCTTTTCCAGAGTGTAGCTATGCACTTGAAGAGTGTCTTTTGGACTCAGAGTCCTGTGGAAGAGCAGGCTGGCTACCCCCATTTTGCGGGCAGGCTGAGCGGTGGCTTCTGTCCATGTTGGTGCTGCCGAGATGGATAGGTGTCCGTTTCTGGGCTGAGACTGAGACGAGATCGCAGGTGCACGAGTTTTTGTATAATGAGGAGGGCGGCTGACATCACTGTTATTTTGGGTCAAGCTCCTGTGAAATGGATCCAATAACGTAAGCTTGGTTGGTGTGACAACCAATTTTGGTGGGCCTGTAAATTAAATCAGAGGTCTCTGTTTAGTGAGGGTGAAAAATGGACACATTCATTCCACTTCATTTTATTTCACCACAAACCAACTGTTATTAGAGGCTTAGTTCACATTCATGAAACTAGTAAGATATGGTTATAATACCTTTATTTCTTTTACCATCTTGTGACAGAGTTCGTGGAGGTATAAGGTTTAGTCTGGGACGCTTTCCATATTGCTCCATATCTTCCTCATCTTCATCCTTGGGAACAACCTCCTGGGGCACCTCCAGACACACTCTGTGTCTCTTGGTCTCTATCCTTTGTGTAGTGCTGAGGGTTTACCAAACAGAGACACAACAGTTAAGAAGAGAAACCATGGTCCCATTTCTTATTGGTTTCTGGTCTAAGGAAAATGTACATTACAATTGCAAAACCTATCTTTGGAATATTTATGAATGGAACGGTTTCACTTGATGGGAAATGCCTCTGCATGTGTCAACTCTGAAAGCTCCGTGGACATCAGGTGTGTGTGTCAAAGACAGATTCAATGTGACGGCTTTAACGTGATTAGAGCCCCTCTTCCTCATCCATCATGTCAACATTTTGTGCCTTGCAATTGTAGTTACTGAATTATTGTAAGTAGATATTCCACAGTCCTGTGTGGTAGGTGGTTTGTTCTTAGTTTTGGACTACATGACATATCACACACACACACAAGTACAGGGCTCCAGAGTGCGACTAATAATTTTTCTAGGTTGCAGCGGTGCACCTGACGCTGCCCGGGTGAAAACATTCATTTATTTCGCAAGCGCATCATCTCTCTGTGTTCTCCTGTGAACAAACTCACACACTCATGGTAGGATCATATTGTGTTCTAAACCAATAAGAGACAGAGCTCGGGCGGGTCTTTGCCTCTGATTGGCTGTGGTCCTGTTCACCACGCTAAATTGTGTGTGTTTAAAAATTGCCGAGCCCCGGTCCTTCGGTGACAGCATCAGACTCGGAACCGGAGGAGACAACAGAGTATGGAATAGAGCCCGGTTCCGAGACCCAAATTAAAAATGTCACAATATATTCCTTCAGACAGGACTGGCTGAAACAATTTCGTTTGCGTGTACTGTCAGGAGTGCGGTCAGAATATGGCCGGAAATAGTGCATTCGTGGGCGGGTCAACAACGTTTCGTATCAAACTTTTATTTGGAAATGTTTTATTTTGCTTAGTGTTTTAGTTTGAAATGCTCAATTTCAGCTCAGTGACGCACTTTAAACACTTTATTTTTCTTTTTATATATAATTGTGCTTCAAATAAAGACAAGCATTTCTCTACACCTTATTCTTGTTTAAAAATCATTCACATTATATGAAAGTTATGGAGAGCGATAAAAAGGTGACCTTATCGCGTTAAAGGCGACGCAATGAAAAATGTGGGTGCACCTACATTTTGTGCTGGTGCACCTAAAAAAAAAATGTTAGGCGCACCAGTGCAACCAATGCAAAAAGTTAGTCTGGAGCCCTGAAGTAGTACAGTGGACATCAATTTGGACTGGGATAATGATATGTGTTGGTTGAATTGCTTTGTTTTAATTAGCACCTGCAAAATGTTGTATAAACAGAGGATTAGGGAATTTATGTTAGCGACTGATTAAATCTTTCGTGGGTCCCGTTTATACTGTTTCAACTGCTCAACCATAGTGCGAATCTTGTTAGTTAAACCGATCCAACCAATCCTTCTTAAGTCCCGCCCGTTTCGCTTCGTACTCCAGTAACAGTTGAGCCAGCCTCAGTCAATTTTTGCCTATCCTGAACTTTAATATGCGATGTGCTAGGCTTGATGTCCATGTTGAAAAGACAACAAAACTTTGAAGATGGTTAAAAGAGAGATATATAGCATAGCACAAAGGTCAGTTGCACTGATGCAAAACAAAAGAGATCCAAAGGTCTCTAGGACGGTCTCTAGACACATGTTGTCACTGGACTTTCCATGGCTGACATATCCAAAGTTGTTTGTTCAGGAGTACTAAATCACCCTAAGCATCTGCTAAAACATTTCGTGGTATAAACCATTTAAACTAAAACACACCTCACACTACTTCATGAAGCTCATCAAGAGAATGCCAACATGTGCAAAACAGTAATCAAGGCAAAGGGTGGCTATTTTGAAGAATCTAAAATATAAAACATGTTTTGAGTTATTTCACATTTTTTTGTTTACTACATAATTCCATGTGTTCATTCATAGTTTTGATGCCTTCAGTGAGAATCTACAATGTTAATAGTCATGAAAATAAAAAAAAAAACATTAAATGAGAAGGTGTGTCCAAACTTTTGACTGGTAGTGTATATACTAGGATATTATTTTCTGTAGTACAAGACCCACCTCTTCCGCTCTCCGTCCTCCCCACAGCTCTCCATGGAGGTACTGCTGCTGTTGATGTTATTAACTGACTCCCCCAGGAACTCCTTAGCTTCTGGGGTGGGCCGCGAGTGATCAATGGGTGCCACATCTCGCCCTGCGAGCCACAATTCATAGCGATCTGGCTGGAATTTCTTCACAAATACATCCATTGAAATCTTCACCATGTCTTTACGGCATGAGCACTACAGGAAAGAATGGCACAGAAAGACTTTGATTCAAATAACAAATGCTACCGGTAAGATTGTTGCTTGTACATCTATAAATGTATAGTAGATTAAATAAATGGTATATGTTTACATTCTTACTAGCAAGACAAAATCTTATTCAAATTAGGACATGCATGGTTTTCTATGCTATTTTTTGGCAGTCCTCACCAAAACAGCTCGCTTGCCATACTCAATCCATCTCTCTGTGGCAAAGTTGGTTGATTCTGCACAGTTGAAACCGTGGTTGAAACCAGCATGATAGGCGTAGGGGAAAGTTACCATGAACTCACCAGCCTCCTGAGTAATCTTAGGGAGAAATAAAACAATTAGTAACTGCAGTTGATATATTTGTCTTGTGTAGTGGGTATTAAGTAAAGGTCCTCTGTTTGAAATACAAATAAACATATACTCGACTCATACCTTATCAAATGGAATGCCATACTTCTTCAGGATAGAGGGAGAGATGAGAGTCATCTTGTGCCTCAAAAAAGCCTCACAATTCTGTGAGCTACCAGGAAAAAATCCTAGAAGAGAGCAGACAGATATTAGAGTCCACGATAGTTAAAAGCATTACATTACATACATCTATGGAAAATATTTCACCAGTCCCTCACCTTTAGCCAAACGCTCCAATCTTTTCCCATGCTCTGGAGGAACACAGTACCTGCACATATTCAAATTAGTCATCTTAGTCACAATACACTGATAAAATCAGTATATTTATATATATTACGCAGTGTGTTGTCACATGATGTTGCATTACTCCATAGACAAAGAGTCAGAGCCAAATCTTTCAACTCACTAATATGAAACAGGAACCCTGCCTTCACTTACAAAATGTTTAGATAAATACAATGAGAATGTATAAGAATCAACAGCTTGATTTCTGCATCTGATCAAGAAAATAACAGTTTGTTTCTTTACCATGATTTTGGTTCACCAAAGTGCAAGTAGTTGATACTGTAGAGGTCCATGTCCTCAGTGTGCCATGCAAAGGTAGTCTTCCACATGCCAAAATACAAATAGGGTGTGTTAACACCCTCAATAGTGATCCCGCTTTCACGTTCAACGGTATCCAAAATGGTGTCCAGATGGCATATGTTCCACTCTTTGACTTCCTGCAGGAGCACAGACGATAATACAAGATTAACAGATGACACTTGAAGCAGTGACAAAAACCACTATGATCAGTATCAGCATCCCTATCAGGTCAACAGACAGCAATCAGAAAACCAATTAATACTGATTCATTTTCACCACAACAACAACATCCAAGAAGTGTCAACTCACAGGGTCATATAGAGTTCCATTAACATCTGCCCCATATATGGGAGGGTTATATGTCACATTCTTCCAGTACTTCCTTTCCAAGTCCTCAAAGTCATCATAATGTGGACCACAGAACCTACAAAAGGCATGGACAATTCTTAATTAGTACCAACAACATAAATGAAGTTCAGCATCAAACGGTTAACACTGCAGTTGACTCTATACAAATGTAGATTTAACAGATTTACGGATAGGTTTACAGACGTAAATGTCCTTTAGTTCTGCACTTCTCACTTTTCACTGTTGGCAGTCCTGCGGAACTCTCTTACGGTCATGGCCTTCCTCTGAATGTTGTACTGGGTGAAAAGGCCCGACTGGCCTGTCACCACCTGCTGAATGGGTGCGGGTATTACCAAATCATCTATATCATCATAGGACCCTCTAGGCTTCCATTCCTTTGGTGGGACAATCTTGGAGGAGAAAAGTGGACAGTGAGTTGTACAGTTGTACAGTATTTGTTACCAAAATTATTCACCAGCAAAGCATTGGAGATGTGAATGTATTTATTTACAGCCTGGTGTTAACATGCTTGCAACATATATAGTGATGGACATTAAACAACAGCTGTTTGTCTAAATAATAAAAAGTCATTGCTAGATTTTAATTTTACATTTGCTCACCATTTTTTGTTGCCAATAAATATGATCCCATAAACACTAAAATGGCTATAAATACAATCTGTGGGAACACTTGGAATGTATGTGTATCTGTACTTACTTTAGCCAGGCCTGCTTTGTGTGCTCCCTGGGACTCCACGTATGCAATGTACCGGCTGAAGTCCTTGAATTCCTCAGCAGTGGGGTAAAAAGTCATGATCCCCTTGGAACCATGGTTTTGGGAAACCACATCTGACGCCATCCCAAAACTCAGTGGCAACTCCTGTAGATTGTAAATGGGAAAATTGTAATTTTATGATGTGACATTTCAGTTCAGTATGGCTTTGTATCAACTTTTCATTTAATTGTTTCCTTCCCACAGTCAGGCACCTTTTTTGGCCTGCCTCCCTATAGCTTGACTGAATAATTGCAAATAAATATCAACAGCTAAAGAATTTAAGTAATATTTTGAAGTAGTAGGGCTGCACAATGAATCGCATTGTCTTTGTCTCAAATCGTAATATGACCAAGTGCAATATTCAAGTCGCAGAAGCTGCAGTGTTTTGATGTAAGGTAAAATGTGTCACGAACAGAATTAAAATGAAGGACTGCAGTTTGGAAGTGACACTCTGGTCTATGAATCTTGTTCTCCAAGTTTAAAAAAACATGTTTGTTAGGTATGATTTAAAGTTTTTTTAAGTAAAAATTAAACTTGTGATGCAAAAATGATCATTCCCACACTAATTATGAATCATAATGCAATATCTGTCAAAATAATCACAATATGATGTCTTTACCATACCGTGCTGAACTAGTAAGTTGCAATAATAATAACATTTTGTTTTATCATATTTTGGAATGTATGTTTGAGGATTTGGTTGCTGACAGCACTGAAATTTCATCATTTCCACTGAAGTGAACCTGAGAGGTGACTACTCAACAGATCATTATCTTTCATTCTTCACATTGCAAATGAGATTACTCCTATTTCAAACTCTTGACATCGCGGAAAGTATAAAGAATAGTAGAGGAAGCAAAATGTTCCTTAAATAGTTCAAGTTGTGTGTCATTATATATATATATATATATATATATATATATATATATATATATATATATATATATATATATATATATATATATATATGGACAGGCCTGGGAAAAGCTACAGCCGCCCCTGATTGGTTGAGCCCGCGACTCTTTAACTGTAACTGTCGAAACCCAGCCAGCTAACATTAGCTCATTTGCTAACTTGCAAAAGAAACATGAGCTAATTCATTGAACGAATATGCAATGACACACAGCATAGCATAGCATTACTTAGTCTGAAAGTATAGAGGTTTCAACTGGTACTCAAAAGTGAACTTGCCACCTTGTTTTCATGGTGTCCCAAAGGAAAAAGTCATAATCACAAACCAGCTAACGTTAGCCCGTTCACGTTAACACCACGGTGGGATGGGACTATTCCCCGTGTGACAGACACCACCAGAGCTCGGTCGCATCCTGTGCGCTTCACTCGTATAATGTGCCGTTAGCAAAGTTGGACGAAGCCACAGCGCTAACGATCTCACAATCCTGGTAAATTACAAAGTAAGAGCACGCTTATTCTAAAAAGCATCGTTCAACAATTGTTTGAGTTGAGTTTTACACACAACATAAAACACTGAAACTATCATTCTCCAAGTCAGTGATATGTATTCCAGGAAATAGACTACCCCGACGCCTAGCATCTACGTTAGCTGTGGTACAGTTCCGGCTAGTTGAGCTATCAGATTAGCACTGTGAGTTCACAAGCTAACATCCTCGGACGGCCGTTAGCTAACTCGACATGCAAATACTTACAACCTCCTCCCGGTTGAGTCAGACGTTATTCCGTTGCGTTGTAAATACCTCGTACTCAATAATAACAGTAGTTTGGAACAGAGGAGAAACCAGACAGACAGCTTGCTAACTTAGCCCCCTGTGAGTAGATCACCGTCCTCCATTACCGCTTCTACGCATGCACACGCACCTCAGATTTTGTTTACCACAACACGCATGAGGCACGCTCAGCCAATCAGAGGGCGGCTCTGGTGGCTCGTCATATGATGGCTGAAAACACGAGTTTAAATCTCATGTTTTTCAAATATCAGAAACTTTATTCACCGAGATATTGTCTTCTGCACTTTATGTTACATATAATATATATATAGAGAGAGCGGTTTTCCAATATTAATACAATTGTATGGCCAAACAAATGTCCCCGCAATTTAGAATTGATTGTTGGTTGATTTAATTAGATTAATGTTAATATTCCTATTTAACCATATATTCTTACTGATCACCAGGTAATCAGTTTATCATTGAATAGTGTCTCTGGAATTGACAGACAAAATTGAAGCTACTGGAAATCAAGTAATAGGTTACTAAATTACAACAATCTCTATAAACAGATAACCTGATAATCTTTTGGGAATTGATCAAATTAGGAAGACTGCTATGATGACAGGCTAAGAAACTGCATTTATTAAATATAATTAGGAATGATAATGGAATTATACTAATGTGGCTGTATCCTGCATCGAGCCATAACACTTATTCCTACAGCTTCAGTCCTTGTGTAATAATCACAGTGAATAAATAATGTCAACCTACATTTTTTCTAAAAATGCCTTACATTTTTTGTGTAAAGTAGTTTAGTGTCATCTTCAAAACTTGTATCTATTCTGACACGATGGTAAAACTGTTACTCACTGACAAACATAGACTACATTACTGCAAGCAAAAACAAACAAGCAAAATCACCTGTAGACTGTGAATTTTATTTCATGCCAGGAAAGGCACGTTCATACACTGAAACCATTTGATAGGCTATATAATGTTATATGCATCTACATTCAGGCAGTGCATATATTATGATTCCCATGAATAAATGCAACAATAACATTAACACATTTTGTTAACCACAAAAAGATATAGCACATATGAGCACTGACAATTTGTATATGCACACTTTTAGCATAAGAGGAAGTACATGTGCACCCTGTAGTCCATACAGTTTTACTGACCTTTTACACCAAAGGAGACATACAGTACATTGCATCAGCAGCACTTGTTGGTTTTTGGAAAGTCCATAGAGAATATATAATGTTTTTGAGGTGTCAGTGCCAGGTCAGTTCATTTCCTCTCTATTTCTCTCTATTTTGTTCCAGTTGCATAAGATCAGTCATGTTGCATCCGCATTCTGTCAAATGCACATATAACAGACCAGCATGGTCAGTACAAATTCCTCTTTTTAGGGGACTTTCTCCTTTGGCTGACTCATGTTTTGGACAAGCTTTGGACACTCAAATCCACCAATTTACACCTTCTGCCACTCAAAACAGTATAAACTATCCAGTCAGCAGATGAGCACTGTCAGGGAGTATATTTGACTGTGCTTTTACTCGCACTTTACTGTCCCACTATGAGACAAAGCAGCACCCATGAATTCACGTCTTTCAGTGAGCATAATGTTTAGCTCATTCTCTCAGACAATATTAGATAAATAGGGTGGACTGGAGAGTAGTAAGGGACACATACTCTTGTTTTGCATTTATCAGCTTATAGACACAACAGCTTAAAGCGGTCAATACAACCACAATTTGTTATGGCAGTTGCTGTTATTTCAGAATAAAGGCAAAATAATACTTAAATCACATACAAGGAACACTTATTTGATTAGAGAGGAGTGCACTGGGACCTTTTCAATATGAGAATATATTGCAACTGTCTGAAACAACCCTCACACCTTCTCATATTCTGAAGTCATGCAGGGCCTCGGTACTTTGTATCCTTAGGATATTATATACTATTGAAGAAAAGGCTGCTAGAATAAAGGAGGACAACCTTTTGGCATGTTTGTATACATCTGTTTTTGCAACCAGTTCAGAAACATCTCTCACTGAATATTAGTTAATTTTCATGCAACTATGAATTGGTTACATTGTGCTTAACATAGACACACATAGCTTTTTGGATTTAGATTTATATTAGAGTTCAATATATCGAAACTAAATTGCTGTAATTTGGAAACAGATGAGCCAATTGTGTTGAGGAAAGCTGTGATTGTGAGTCTTCATGTTTGAGATGGTGTACACTGCATATTGTATGGATGTGGTTAATAGGTGGCTGGATTGCAAGTGATTAATTTTTGTGTTTTTCACATTATGTGTGGCATAATGTAATTTATGTGGTGCAATTATTAATTACATTTGCATCGGTATATATGTAATGTTTTTAACCCATTTCCCACTGCCACCCAGACAGTATTTGATAATAAACTATTATTATCAACACTTGAGTTTTATTATAAGCTGTACTTCACCATCATACTGGCAAATCAGCTGTGTAATTCTTCAATTCACTACATATCACTTTGCCAGTTTCCAACTGAAAGCATATGTAAGACCATTTTGTAAAGGTAGAACAGAAGCTCTGCAGTATTTTACAGAATATTTAAGATTAAGGTGAGGATATTCACACACCATTTCATGGATTTTATGCTTCTTGCATCTTGCAGTAGTCAGTTCTTCACCCGAAACATTTCATACACAAATCACGAATGGGCATAGTCCTTTTGATCTCCAGGTGTCGGTGCGAACATGACGCAATGGAGCACAAACTGGTATCAAAAAGCGAAGCAGAAACTGACTGTGTATTTGCATCCATTCCTCTCATCTTTATGTCAATTCCATCGTCCTCTTGTTGGCACCATGCCTAAGTCCTGCTTTATCTTTGAGCACCAGTGGCCATCCGCATCCTTAAGATGTGGCCCTGTTTATAACAGCTCTCAGCCTGGGAGCAGCCTTGAAGAACACATGCCAAAAAAGGCCCTCTGCTTGGTTCTGTGATAAAACTATACTCCTTGTTGGTTATTTGTCCATAGGCTTATTGATTTTCAGTGTGTGCAGAGTGTCACTGAGAGCGACAGTCTTCTCTGTGTCTGTCTTACTGCTGTCTTTTTTGGACATGTCAGGCTCCCATAGAAAGAACTCGTGGAGGAGGGTGTTGACGGTGTCAGGACACTCCATCATGACCATGTGACTTCCCTCCTCAATGACTTTTAGGAATGCAAATAGGAGGATCTAGAAAGGGAGCCAAAAAATGAATGCAGAACATTATAACACTACAGCACAAACGTAACATTTCACATTAAATATCAAATAATAAATCATCACTCATTCACATGTGTACTATACCTCTGCCATGCGCTGGTCCTCATCCATGGGCACAAACTTGTCACACATGCCATGAACCAAAAGGATGGGCACAGTGAGCTCGGCATGGTAGACCTCGTCCCCCTCAGGCCAGTACTGACCACTCATCATGGCTCGCAGGACAAACGGAGACACGTTGAAGGCATTGCCCTGCTTCAACAACTGCTTTTCTTTGGCACCCTGACGGGCAAATCCAGCTCTATAGGTTAGAAAAAGGGAGGTGTTACATCAGTATTTATTAGTTTTTTTTAAAGTTTTAAGGTTACCATCTTTCAAATGTTTTGACATCAACAAGCCATGCTGTTTACTCAAAGGTGAGAGGTTACTGTAGTGCGTCACTGTCCCTAGTGTCAATTTAGGCCCCACACAAATGCAGATCTTACTTGAGGAAGCTCCAGGCCAGACAGGGTGACAGACAGTGCAGGACACAAGATGGTAGCTGGAAGATGGAGCATAGGCTGGGCTCCAGAGCTGTGGGACCCCCTCCATTGATCATCACCACCTTATGGACCAGATCAGGATATTCGTGGGCCAGGAAGGTGCAAAATGACACTCTGGAAGAGATATAATGAGATGGATACAGCATGTTAACGGTGTGTTAATCACTCCTAGAAAAGGAACTTTGATCAGCTGTAAAACTGCTTCAGAGACACTTCCAACAGTGAATGATTTATAACAAAAGCATCTCACAAATCCTCACCCATATGAGTGGCCAATGAGAATGTTGCGTTTACGAGCATATCTCTTAAAGATGGCACGAAGGTCCTCTGCAAGGGCATAAAAAGTATACGCTGCTGCAATCTGTGGGGCAGTGCTGGCGCCATGCCCCGCCAGGTCGGGCGCAATGACCTCATAGCCTAGTCGAGAGAAGAAGTCGAGCTGGCTGCTCCAAATGTCCAGAGAACCTCCCACACCATGCACGAAAAACAGCGCTACGTCCGAATGCGTCCCTTTGCAGCTTGAGATCACCCTCTTTGAGTCAATTAGAACCGTGCGCTTGGGCTTGCGGCGGCGGCGGCGAGGAGGTGGAGCAGGTTTCTGTTCCCCAAGGGGTGAAGGACCTGGAGGAGAAATGGGGTTGGGGTCTGGAGAAGAGGGCATTTCTTTGTAGTCAGCCAGCTCCACTTCTACAGTGCTACAAGGCTCCAGATCCCCATCCTGACACTGCAGGATCTCAGAGTGCAAAACATCACCGAGATTCTCAATCACCAGCTGGCCATTGCGGTAGACGGTGATCTTCCTCTTGCAGTGGACACTGCTGCCTGTATTGCTCTCATTATTCAGATCCTCAGGACAACTGTCATCATTATAGTCGCTGTCCGTCTTTTCCTTGCCTGCAAGTTGCTCTTCCGTTACTACAGGCTGACGCTCTGGGATGATGTGTCGCACTCGCAGGACTCTCCCAGGTTTCACCTCCACAAACTCAAAACCATCAGAGGGTTCTGATGACTCAAGGGGTAAGACCAGACTGGCAGCCTTCCCAGTCAGGCAGCACAGTATACCTTCAGTGATACTGGTCAGCATGGTGCTTCCCTGCATAAACAACATCACACAAAACAGATAATCACTCAGCTGCTTAATTCGAAATATAACAAAAAAAACATATTACATAGGTTAAAAAGGAAACATAGATAATGTATGAACATAGGGGTGGTTTCTATGACTAGCTTTTCACATACACATTATAGATGGTTCCAGGTTTATTTCCTGTTGCAGTGTTTGCATATGTCAACAGCTCGACAGGACAAAATTGGGTCTTGGTTCCTATAAAACTGGACTCAAGGTGTTTCCTAGCAACGCAGTTACAATGCAATGGTTTTCTTTATCCTGTCATCACACCACAGCCATTGTCGAGTGAAATGAAACACACCAAGAGCAAAGATGCTTTTTAGTTTAACAGGCTCCAAGCCGTTATGCTAATTGAAAATACCACAGCCAGTGGAAGTGCAGCTCCAGCAGCCTTTGTAAAGCTCTTCTAACACACTCACCTGGTTGACCAAGCAGCTTAACATTCAGGGGTTCCAAGTTCACAAACAGACAACATAAAAACAATACTGGTGCTCTACTACAGTTTCAATGTCAATGAGGACTGAGCATTCACACCAACCTAGACGTCTGCTATTAATAACCCCTCCTTTTCACATGGTCAGAATCAGGATATATATATAAATAGATTCCACTCATAGGGCATGACTATGTACATGCCTGAAAGCTGTATGTCTCATAACAGTATGATAGCAGTGTTTCAAGCTAAACTGTTTCCATTGGAGATGAGAGAAAAAACTATCTATGTGTCCCTGCCCAGGTCCTAAAGCTAAAATATGCAAATACAGAATCATTAGTCCTCATTTTTCCTACAAACACAAGCTGGTTATCTCTAGGAAACAGAGTGGGAAGAGTCATATCTACATGGTAAGACTTACTGTTTCCTGGTTACAGAAACTGTGAAACAGAGGGTGCAGGCAGGGTGCACATTACTGCCTACAAGGCAGATTTAACATTACTGCACATGGCATATCATGTAACACGTAGTTTAGATCATGGTAGTGTTTCATACCTCCTGCTTAATAGATATATGTGATACGAATGCATAAGAGCTCTGCATCTTGAGATGTTGCTAATGATGATGAATGAAAAATGGAAAATCAACTACACATACATATACTGTATACACATAACTGACTAGTGGGGATTCCTTTTTTTATTGATTTTCGATATCATGCTTCATATTTTTGTTAGTAAATATTTTCTCCAGATTAAAGTAATATATCATTATTTCTAATTCAGATGCAGATTCTTATTCTATCACTATCACTGTAATAAATTCATAATAAACATTGCATTTGTAAGTCAATAAGGTTAAGGCTTTAACAATAGCTCTGTTAATGCACAATGCTCCAGAGGTCTGGCACCACAGTGAGGAGAAGCTGGTTTACCTACAGTAGTGCATGTCTGCGTCTGCACAGAAGAGTTCATGTGTACAAGTGTGTTGTTGTTGTTGTTAGTGGCAGGATGGTCTGAAGGTCAGCGCATCAATTGCTATCCAGTTACACCCAGAAGCCAAGTGAATGTTGACTGAGAGGCCTGTCTTGCATAAACATTAAAATGGAATGTCGACACAATAAACAGACAGTCTAATCTGCAGCTCTGCTGTCTTTAATGCTGCAGTGAGCTTCTGTTATGGTTCTTCAGTTTTGAAGCAACTCTGTTGTTTTATTCTGAACCAACCAGTCACACCACATTAGAGCTACAAGTGTACACGATGAGGTAAAAGTGTCCACGAAGGAAAGTCCTGAGAGGTCGTCACTCATGAGGACGTGAAGATGTTGACAGCATGGTAGGACGTCAACTGACCTTGTTTAACAATTTGGATGACCTGGCATAGAGATGCTACCCCACACCTTATTAACCCATCCTTCACAGCATCAGCACCGATGCAACAGCATCATTTAAATCGGGGATTCTCCTCCTGATCTACTATCCATCGTTCAGGATTTGAAGATTTGAATATGGCTGAGGAGAAGTAGAAACAGGCTGGAGGTTACTCAGCCATGTTATTTTTTTGTCTGCATTGCAGAATATATAGGTTGATATGTCTGCCAAGTCTTACAGTAACACACATTTGGTACACAGTGTGCTACTCTATTTCCACAACAACACGGTACAGTACTCTGACGCAGTCGGACATGATATCTGCACATTAACTGCATGTATTTTAGACCATTTTAACCTAATGTCGGTTAAAAAGGCCTAATGCACAAATGTTCCATAGCTTAGCGGTTTGTTCTTTGCCTATTAATGCAAAATACAAAGTCATAAACCGCAATAGTAGGCTCCATATGACAATCATTTGACGTGAATCGTCAAGCATCATGTTTCACAATAATACAAATGCACAGTGAAGGGCATATTTACAACGTAATACATAGGCTTAATTAATAGCGTTGCATCAGAAATAAATAGATTAAAAATCCGTGACAGTCTAGTGTGGAAGGCCATAATTGCTATGCGTAAATGATTGATTAATCTATTATTCTTGCGCTGTCATAGGACAAATGCATGCAGTCATCGTGCAGCTGATTGATGCTGATGACTATGTGCTGCACAATAAACATGAGATGAGCTAATTAGACAAGACGATGCAATAAAAATCGATTCCTTACCTGCAGAATTACTGACGATTAAGGGTGATTAGAAATCTGCACCAACAGATGACAGTCAAGGGCCGACGAAGCTGAACTGAGGAAAACGTTGCATTAGGTGCAACAATTTGTCTACGCTTGGGATGCTGCAAAATAATGAAAGCTTCTTATTAGCCTCGTTAGACTGAAATCACAGAGCACGGTGGGGCTTGAATTGATGATAAAGCATGCATCCATAAAAGTGTGCCAATTGCATTTCAACAAGACACCCATTACGATGACAAACAGCAATGTTTTTTTTGTTTTTTTCTCCCTCGGCATCCACTGCGCACTCAGACCAGACCCTACCCAGCCCTGCTGCTGCCCTTGTATCCGCAGCAGCCTCAGCAGTCTTCGGGCATTTTCGCTCCTGAGTGGCAGTGAGGAGGGCGAATAGGACCGCGCAGCACTGAGAGGAGGCCAATGGGAGCATCTTGTTTCCTTGTTGCCAAGGCTGACAGAAAAGCAAAACGCGTGCGTGCGCGTCCGTGCGGTCAGGGAGAATTATTTTAAAAGTCAGCTAATTATCCGAATTATCTAACACATGGCCATAATTAGGCCTGCGTGTGTGATCCCATTTCAAACCCCGAACCTATATCACCTGAACTGCATCCTCATAAACTGACACCTGGAAACGTGTTATTGCAGTTGTTGCATCACTGAAGGTAAAAAATCAAAAAAAAAAATACCTTTAAGTTTTAAGCAGTTGGGTTGAGATGTGCTGTCTCTCTCTGTTACCCTTAAACTCCCATCAACAAATTGGTCCTACTGGGACAGTCCGGTGCCTGTCACCGAACAGCCTGTGACGGTTATCGGGCGGAGAGCCAACAGCTGTGTTGTGTACTTTCTGTTATTGTTTTGCAGCCGATGTAAATAACAATTACTTCTTTATGTTAATGCATGGCACAGCATTGGTGTTTTAATAATATGGTTACAAATCAATTAGGCTAATTAACAAGCCTCCTTGTTAAGGGCCAAACAACACTCAAATGAAACTTCTACAGTATAAATGTTCTCAGTTGCTTTGACACAATGGAATTACAATCATTAGCCTACTTTAAACACTATATTGTCTCATGCCTCATCCTTTCATATAGCTACAATCTCATCACTGCTATATAGAATTCAAATTAGCCCACACATATTTTAAATATACCCAGTGATGTGCTCATTTCTCCTAATCAACATAAAACTCAACAAAAAAAAATAATGTGTCCAAACATAACCTTTCCAATATTTCTGAGGACAGCAGGGGCATGAAATGGCTGGTGATGTCATTCAAAAAGGTTTTTTCCACAGTATGTTATTATGAGGAGTGTTTTAATGGCCACTGAGGTGAGGGAATGATTATTGTTTTTCATTTATTTCTACAGTCCTAAATTACCCTAATTTGTAGTATTTAGACATGTGCTGTAAATCATAATGCTATTTAATCTGGTACTGGTTTGCACTTGGTACACATTGGAAAAACATTTTTGTAGAAACTGGTGTTTGTATGACATGAGTTCTGATGGATACCCTTCAGCAGGCTTAAAAAATGGAAACAAAACACCACCTTATATATGTTGTGTTTTGATTGGTAAGTCTATTTGTCTTTTCCAGTGTAAATGTTAAGCACAGGAAAACTGTAAGCTACTGTACTGTTAGTTATGAGAGTATAGGCTAAATGAGAGATGGTAAATTAATACTATCCTGATGCGTGTGTGTGGGTGTGTGAGTACTTAATGCCACCCCTGCATAATTTAGTGCCCCACTTGGGCTACCCCAGTCCAAAATGTCTGGATACGTCACTGAGTAATGGTGCTGATTAATAAATGTATTCAATATTTGACATATCTGAGTGAGAGCCATTGCAGTTTAAATGAGGGGTTGTGCTGCACTGATTTATGATGACTGCACCTACAGTAATGTATTGAAAATCGTTACAGTGTTGCAAAAAGATAAGATAGACTTTTTTGATCCCACACTGGGGAAATTCACATATAACAGCAGCTACAGACATAAGTAATGAGAAATTTCACATTAAATAACAAAATAAAATAAATATAAGATATAATAATGAAAATAGAAAACCCGAATTAGAGTTGTATGTGAATGAAAATCGTAACAGTGTTTCAAAACATATGCTTAAGCAGTTAAAACCCTTAAATGTTACTGTGAATGGGGAAACGCTGTAAAATGAGTGATTCTTTAAACCCTGAGTAAAACCTCTTAGGCAGCGTACAACAAGGCTGCTTTGTTTGGTGTCTCCCGTCTGGCAGACACCAACCTCAAACCATGACCCTCACATGTAGATCCATTATGCTCGCCACTGAAGCGTTTCACTGGTCAAACACGGTGCTGTCGGTCGTTCAACCGCTGGAGAGTTTAACCTGAAAAGCGCTACTCAGGGCATAAAGTATGTCTTCTCAGCAACAAGCCTTTCCATTGGCTGAAAGGTCTGAGCCAATCATTTGGCTCCATATTGGGACGGAAGCTGGCAGACCTGTGACATTCACCGTTCGCATGTCTAAGTTAACTATTTAAATATCTAAAAATGAACATTATACTGTCGTCTTTTTCCCGACTGCGTGGAATAACACATTTCACCAGGTAACAGAGGTCAGGTGTTTTCAAGCCAGACAAACGGCAAAGTCAGCAGTGTTTGGTTACGATGGTAACATTGGCAGGCTAGCTTAGCAGTACCTTAGCAACGTGGCTAGTTAATGAAGGAAGCTCTGTTTTGTTAGATAATGGCTGATGTAGAGAGAGCTTAATGATACCTAACCAAACCACAGTTCATATCAACATAATATATGAACGACCGTGCTGATGTACCTCTGTAGACGGTGTTTGCTGTAGTAGTTACAGTATTACTAATGCATTATGGGATATGTTGTAGCCTCATTTGCAGCAGATTGAAAAGTAACTGAGAGTTGCAGACCACACCACCTTCAACATGTTTACAATAAAGCCAGATCTACTCTGTATGTTGTGATTCATGACTACACAAAATGTCATAATGTGTTGGTAGTGGAAATCAAGAAATGAGATGCATACATCGGTGACTCCAAACAAGTAGCAGCACCATCAATGTATTAGATATTGAGTGTAATCCCAGCGTTATTGTGGCATAATCTTGAGATTAGATAATAAAATGTTCTAATAATCTTTTATCTTTAAACAGCATCCCTGCAAGGAACCTCGCTGTAACAGGCACCTCTCACCTTAGATTATTCAGCAACTGGATTGTGCCAAGAGCAGCTGCAGGACCTCAGATTTCCAGATGTGGGCCGCTTTCTTCACAAGCTGAAGGTTCAGGAGTGTTTCAGCAGCTTCCGTGGCAATACCAGCAGGTCCGGACACGGAAAAGAGGCTGTGAGTATCAGCCCAAGAACATCAAACGCAAGAGGACCCACGGCTGGATCAAGAGGATCAGCTCACGAGGCGGCATCGAGGTGCTTTTGCGGCGCATGTTTAAGGGACGAAAATCACTCTCACACTGAAGATTCCTATTGGAAAGCTTGCACGACTTTCAGGAAGCAGACATTGGATCCAAAATGCTGGTAGTGCGCAGCAAAGAACTTGTGTATTGGGTTAACTGGTGAGACTGGGTGTGGGTTGGGTTTGGCATTTCCTCTGCATTAATAATGGGTGGGAGATTTAAAACTGACCTTTCGACAGACATGCTGCATTTGCCTCAGGCAAAAAGAAGCCTGGTAGTTTTACCAAGTTATGTTTGATCCATAATGTTTTCACTAAATATTGATTATTGTATTATTTTCTTTTTTCCTTGAGTGAAATTCATTTGGTTCAAAGACAAAATGTGTCTTTAATAATCGGTGTCATCTTTAAATGAAAACACAAACTATGGTTGACTGAAATAAAAACAATTCCTGCAGAATTTACATGTTTACATTTGTGCTTCCCAGATAGTTTGCTGACAAAGGGTTTGTTCTTTGTTGCCTCAAAAGATGAAGTTTTGGACCCTAGAAGTTCGCTGCCATCTACTAGGAAAGGCTTACCCCCAGAGAGTGCAGGGAAGGGTTTATTGGGTTTTACATCAATCAGTGTGATCCCGAGTTCAATTAGTAGCCTTTTATTTACAAGCCAAGAAGAAGAATTTGTCAAACAAGAGCAGAAAGTACTTAAGTCAAGAAGATGGTGGCATTAATTAACACATTAATAATGTAAATATTTTACATAAGTAGCATTCTCTTGGATTCTCACCGTCACGGTATTTTAATTAATACTGAATATAATGAACAACCTGATTATGAATTACATTTAGTCATAGTTTTACTTTAATAAAATCAGTGTTTTTACAGTCACAAACGCTTCAACTCTGCGAACAGTAGCAACAACAGAGAGCTGCGTGAATAAATGAGTTAGTGTGAACGGAGGAGGACGTACTGTAGAAAGTACTTGTGTTGTTTTCATGCCACAACCCACCTTGTATTGGGAGATTGGTCTGTTACATAATCACTCTGTAGCCAATCAGCGCATTGCTTTTTGTCTCTCGTCTAAGTTCAACCAATGAGGTGCGTTGAATCTCCAAAGGTAACCGCCCCTAAAACAGACGAACAACAAAAATGGAGTTGTGAACTAGTAGCAAGTTAGCTTCAGAAGGACGTTCAATTTCAGTTTTTGTGTAATTACCTTTACATGGGCGGAATTTCCCACTGATTTGAAGTGGCGGGATGCGATCATATCAAAACCATACGTAGTTGATTTTTGTAGCAACCGTAAGAAGCTGTCGAACGGGTAAACAACCCGGTATCTTGGCTACGACAAAGACAACAAGGCTTAGTGGCTAGCTAGCTAAAGCAGTAGCATCTGCTCGTTTTCACTCTCTCTGTGCTCAGGAAGAAGAACGGGACTCGGACAGAAATGGAGAAGGTAGGTTCACAACTATGTTTTTGCTTAATTGTTTAGGTATAGGGGTTTGTTTAAATAATTGGTTATTATCGTTTTAGATAGATGTGTTGCTTACGTGGTGGCAGATAGGACGCAGTGTAAATACTCTGTTAGTAGCACGTTAACGTTGCTGCCTCGTTATCTAGTTGAATGTAAGCGGGGTGAGTTGTTCTCTGCTACCTAGCGTTAGTAATGGCTGTTGTTGTTGGCCTTGCCACCGGGGACTTTCCGCTCAAGGCAACTGCAGGCACGGAGAAGTGTTTCTGTTCATACTTTCTGTTGTGTTCACAGGGAGACTTCTTGAAGGGACTACCTGTCTACAACAAAAATAACTTCAGCAGGTTCCATGCAGACTCTGTATGTAAAGCATCAGTAAGTCATCTTATTTGTTGTCAAAATACTAAGATATAAAAGCCTGTTGTTAGTTAATGGTGACATGTTGTCACATACTAGTACTAACTAGCTTGTTTCCTGGTGTCATTCTAGCCAACTTGTAGACTGACATTGATCTTGTTTTCTTGTTTTAGAACCGTCGACCATCTGTGTATCTTCCAACCCGGGAATATCCATCAGAGCAAAGTAAGTGCGTTAGATTTTAAAAATGTTTACAGAGCAGCTCACGTTCTCTCAAAACTGATGAAATATTGTAGTTCTATCTGAGGAAAATGGCTTACCCCAAACACACAACATTTGTTTGCCTAGTATTGGTCACAGCATTGGTTTATCCAATATCACCTTCACTTCCTGAATGACAGTATAGTTATCACTCAACCTGTTTATTAAATGAATGCTCATTGGGAACAGCTGATTTCAACTGCATTCTTTGTGTGTCTCATGATATAATCAGTGTCTGTCCTGTCTCTCCTCAGTAATCGTCACAGAGAAGACAAACATCCTACTGCGATATCTTCATCAACAGTGGGACAAAAAGGTAAAAGTTTTTTTTTTTAAAAGAAAGTTAATGTCATAGAGGAGACAGTTGGTGCTCCTCTGTTTTGTGGTACACGGTTTGTTAAATGTGTTTCTTTCTTACCTCATCAGAATGCAGCCAAAAAGCGAGAGCAGGATCAACCAGAGGGGGAGAACACGGCGCCTCCACGGAAAATTGCTAGAACAGACAGTCGGGAGCTGAACGAGGATTCATAAATTGCTGTGCTGTTGATGCACACCCAGCAGAGACTGACCTGTACAAACAATGCATACACAGATGCAGGATATATGTTTGCAAACCCAGGCCTTGACACTGAAGCACACAAGGGGTGATACATTTCAGACCACAGTCGCATGACATTAATCCCAAAAAACATTGGTCTTAATGTTTGCAGTTGACTTCAGATTTCTTCTTTAACCAAAAACTTCTTTCCCTCAGTTTATTTACTACTTTCTCCCAGTATTTTCTTTACTTCTAAGAGACCTCTGCCTCAGAGTATTTGTAGTTTGAAAATAACATACATCTACCTCCTTATTCCTCAACCCCTCTGGTTTTCTTTTAAATATGCAGGGAGTGAAGTCATTGCTCCTCTGCTGCTATTTAAGGGTTTACAGAAGTTATTCATACCATTTCTGAGATATGCACGATTTTGGTTTAGTCTATATAAGTGAGATGTCATCTTTTGTGGCTCCTACTCCATTAGGAATTTTTAGTTTTGAAATATGTAATGACAGTGACCCTTAAAATTTTATTTTAGCTCATCATTTATGTGACTACTGTCATTACAGTAACTGAAAATAAAACTGCACTCTGTTCGTTGCTTAGGTTTAATTATCCATTCAGGGTTTGCTATGGACTGTTGTGGAAAAATTGAGTTCTGAAAGAAATGTTTTCACCCGATGAATAATGATTTATTGCCTTAAATGGAAGTGAGTGTGTTTTCACTGTGTCTTAGAGTGCCCCCTTGGTTTACATTGTTGAACCACTGTTGAGTTAAATATATATTAGCATGTCTTTTCAATAAGAACACATTCAAGCCAACACAGTCACACTAGAATGCAAACTCTTTTTTTACAGTGTGACCTGCAGATTTTGTAGCCAAGTTTGATGCTCAGTAGTTTAAGATCACCACTTTATAAGCAGCGCTTGTATCTCTAATTGCAAGGTTAGCACAATATTTTATGGAATATGGGTGATTACTGCAGGTGTTTAGCTGTACAGATGTGTAGGCTACTCATAAGGACTGCTATCCATCCTTGTTATAAATGTGCCATTGACATTTGCTTAAATAGGTTGATCATTTGAATCATAATGAGGGAACGTATGTTTGGATCTACAAGCTTTTAGCAGCAGGGCTAAATAAACAGTCTGTGTTTGTTGCTCTTGAAGTCAGTGACGCTCATCATAATGCTCCACAAGTCTTGTATATTTGTACAGTATGTATATTGTGATTTTTCTGACCCTTCTGAACCCACTTTATCAGGCAACAAGACACTGACTCACTCTTGTTTTTTCTCCCCAAGTCAGCCATAATGTGATTTCATGTTGATTAGCCAATTAGTTCTCCCGTGTTGGAGGGATATAGGTCAGAGTTTGGTCAAAACAAAGGAAAGCATTTTATTTTATTTTATTTGCACCTTTCAAAACATCACTTTGCGTATCTGTTAAGATAAATCTGCTGCAAATTGTGTTTTCCACATTTTCAATAATGTTTGGCACAAAAGACAGTTGAGTTTAATGTACATTTGTAACTTTTTGTTACAGATTGCTGTTGAAAGGTTACGGAGTATATGTTCAGCTAGGCTGATTTATGTAAGTCAAAACAAGTAGGATACACACTGACTGTAAGTTCCCTCTGTATGAGTTTAAACCAGAGAAATGCAGTGTTTTAGTTTCCCAACTCTTCATAGAAGAGTGCTAATTCTACATTTGTCATATGGCTTGTATTACATCATTGGATTAAGTTTGGAATGTGTTTTTTGTTTCATGCTTTGCTTTGAGTTTACTGTATAAATGTATTGTTGTCAATTTTAGATCTTGTTCTTGTATAGAATACACTATGACATACAGTAAAGGCTGTAACTCATAGTAAACAGCAACACTGAGGAACATCCTCTCCTTCGTAAAGTATTTATTTGAGATCCTAATAGTGGAGATGTGTATTGGGCAATAGTAATGACATTGAATTGGAAATTATCTTCTAGCTAAGATATCCTTGATAGAGTATATATGTCCTGTTCTGAATTTAAGTCTTACTACTTTCCTTAAAAATTAAGTTAACATACATGTCCTGTTTCCATACAGTTATATGTATATTTACTGTTAACAAAATCAGCCAATGCGTTAACTCTTTATGGATGTTTATTCAAGTGAGATTTATTTGCATTATAGAAGTACATTCACTAATTTATGTAGTAAAATAATTCATAGAAAATCAAAGTTAAGAAAAATAGAATATTTTTTATGGTCACAGTGAATATAATCTGACCTATTGCGGAAGAATAAAATGGCTTTGAAGGTGCTTCACAACTGAAAAGACATGATGGACATGTAATGCATGCACTTTATGCAACATGCATTTAATACAGGCATCAGAATGAGAAACAAATGTGGAATGGGAAGCTGCTGTTTATGTCCTTTAACAAAAGGGCTCATTGATGATCAGGTCCTGGAAATCTGTTCTGGTGCTGTTGAAAACCAGGCAATCATGCAGTATTTGAACCTTAAGTAAAGGTTACTTGAGTCCCATTCAAGGAGTTACACTTACTGTACATATTTTACATGGAAGCTAGATAATCAAGTGTTAATAGATACAGTATAATACTTTGTGCGGAGTAAGTTGCATCTAGAGTGAAAGTTAACGCTCACTGACCGTACATGTGGTCCTGGTGACTAACATGTTCTCTTACAGTGCAGGTGTGTTGCCTGAACATCTGTACATTGCTCTCCATTATTACATTGGTATGGTAGAATTTTTATTAACTCTTTGAGCCAGAGTTTTCTAAATCACTCAATTGTCTTGATTCTCCTTTATCTGACTCATTAGAGGGTAGTTCTTCCAGGGTTGTGTTTAAGTCAGCCCTGTTGGGCTGAGGGTTAGCAGGCTGGGTTGCTGGTTGTGTCCCATTCACACACACCACAGTCCCCTCTGATTTGCTAAAACTGAACAGCTTCCCGGGACTAAATGTCCTGTTGGGGGACTGTGACCTCTCCTGGCCACTAGGGGGTACTGAGGAGGTCACTGTTGACCCTGGCGTTGCTCCCACTGCCACTGCTGGCTCCTTTTTCACCTCAGGCGACTTCAAGAACTTCAGAAATCCTGGGAGCTTTGCCTCCCCTCCTGTGGGGGACTGGGCTGGTGAGCGCGAGGTGCCAGACGAGAACTTTCCCTGGAGAGGGATGATCTGCTTCAGCTTCATCACATTGTTGTTTCCCAGCAGAGAGCTGGGTCTCTTGGGCTTGTCCCCTTGCTTGCCCCCTGGTGTTTTGTCATGGTGGTGCTGGTGCTGGGAGTCCGCCTTGTGGTAGTCACTGTCCTGACGGGCCTCAGCCTGCAGCTCAGCCTGACGATGAAGCTCCTCCTCTTCACGTCTGCGTCTGAGCTGCTGTTGGAAGTGCTGCTGGGCCTGCTGCTCATGCTTCTAAATGGCCCGCCGTGTAAGAATGACACGGAAGAGGAGAGATAAAGAGTCACAGGAAGAAAGAAAGATGGCAAAAGACAGTGTGAAACAATGACAGAGAGGAAGACACTGAATAAGGAAGAGCATAAATGTGTGTGCGGTGGCAGAGTAAGCAGCACACAGTCATAACAATGCTAGTTCAGATTAGTGTTTACTGAGAGTAACTGTGTGCCCTCTGTCATTTTGCATCTTCAGTGCTGAAGTAGTTGTCATCCTATCCTGCAGTTAGATCACACAAACAAGTGGTTTGGGGATTGTTTGCACTAAAAATGCTGACTGTTGCTCATTGTGGTGTTTTTCTATTTTTCTCTTCACAAGAAGACACCATCTAAGACACCATCAAGTGCAACTGATGTGATACAACACTGTACAGACGAACATAGTGAAACACATACAGTTATGTTGTTGTTAGGCTGCACTAGTGTACATCTTTGGACAATGCACACCAAGAGACCAAGGGACACAAAGGGATACGTATATATAGAAATATGATAGTGTAGCCAGCAGCAAGCCTTACATTGGCCGAAGGTCTTTCAAGCTATGATACAACTATACCTTGAAAGCTTCCCTTCGTCGGTACTCTAGCTTGGCCATTTCTTCTGCTACCCAGCCAGGGATATCAGGGATGGCAACATGGATGATGTACTTTAGGAGGATTGCAAAGTGCTGTAAACCACGAGACCACAAAGGGACAGGCTCAACACAATGTTACATGAAGGCACAATCGCATTCTGTTTCCTATTCGGAATTTTTCTTCTTCAAACCAAACAGCAAACACATACAAAAACTCTTGTGAGGTTTTGTCTTCATTATTGAATCTGGATTAAAACATTTATTTTGAAGGTTTTACAAAGTCACAACAAAACATAGCAGGCCATGCACCTTTGTACTTCTTTTCTAATATTCAAAAAGTGTCATCTGGGGAATAAAACTACATTCTCACAGAACAGAGCGTACCTCCAGTAAGACAATTGAGATGATGGTCATCTCAGGACTCAACCAGGGGAACAGACGCTGGAGCTGCCCACACTGACCAATCAGGTAACAGTTAACTATAATGGCTATCAAGCCCATGGCCTCCATTGCAGTCTGGTGTGGAGAGAAAGAAAGTGAGAGACATTTACAGGCTGGTCTGCTCAGATGTACGACCGTGTGAACGATGTCTCCTGGAAGGCTTTGCTGACATTTTCCAAAACAAAACGCACTGACCTGCCATTGTCCGATGTTCTCCACCCTCTGTCCAAAGGGTCTCTGCAGGCCGGTACAGAGCTTCAGGGCATCGCTACGGATCTCGATGATGTTGTTGATAAGAGCGCACATGGCCGCCAGGGGGAACGCAGAGGAGAAGAGCACCACATAGCCAAACTGAATGAACATTTCCTGGTAGTCCTGAAGCGTGTCCTGTTGGGGTCAAACATCATGAAATAATGTTAGTATTTTCATGGGCACACTGTTGTGAGATTGGATATAGATGATTTTGTATGGCACTAGGTTGTCCCACCTCATATGTCTGCATACAGCTCTCAATCTCAGCCTGGGTGAGAGTGACAGTTTTGGGTTCTTCTGGTGGATCAATCCATGACTTCTTATCCTCTTTCCCCTCACCTGCATTCTTTCTTCTCTGACAGAGAGAGTCAGATTCCTTTGGAGGGGACACAGGGACATTGTCCTTGGTCTCCTGCTAATGTAAACAATACTATACAATACTATACAATACAAACAATAGACTACAATACTTTCTCTAGTGGCTTCATCTTAGATACTTTAGATCTGTCGGTGTACTACCTGGATGAATGAGTCTCCACAGACATGATCAAACTACATGAAACAATTTGAACTGTAAGAGTTACAATTATCTAAACATAATTTGAAGTTTCTGTTTCTTTAAAGGACCAGTGTGTAGGCTTTAGGCCTTTATGGAATGTTATAATAACTTTAAATAAAGTCACTGGTTGTGATGAAAATTTTTGCAGAGTAGAGAAAGAAGCCAAAACCATAAAGCTAAAAAACAGGATGATAAATAATAATAATAATAATAATAATAATAATAATAAACAGACCACATACTTGAGCCAGTGATTCACAGTCACTGTCCTCATCACAACTGTCAAAAATACTGGACGGATCCATCCCCTCCTCTACCATTGTGGGACTGTCCTCCAGGGAGCTGTTATACACCGTCTGCGTTTCTGTCGTGACGTCCTGGTAGTCGACCTTCTCTGTAAAGCTGACTTTACGTTGCTTTAGATTGCTGTCATTCATGTCCCACTCTTCCTCTGTCAGCCTGAATCCGGCTTTCAGATCCCCTCTTCTCCTTGGCTCTGGGTTTCCATTAGCGGTGTGACTGACAGGGATCCCTCTGGGACCCAGGAAGGAATAGGCTGTCATTGAAGCTTGGGCCTTTCCCAGAGCCAGGCGGCCATACTTGAGCATGATGGCTTGGAGCAGTTCCCACAGCACCTTCGGGGTGAAGACACCCAGCTTGTTCTGCTCATAGAGATAAGGCTGGAGGACCTCTTTGATGTTTTGCAGGAACTGGCGGAAGATCAGTAGAGTGGCTAACATCTATGAGGAGTAGGACAACATCAGTTACTGTGCTGAATATAAGAAGTAAAAGGAGAAACTACATGCACAGTCCAAAAGTGTTTAGTAAGCATTCAGTCTTCCTGAATGTAGAAATGCAGTGGACTGCATCTGACACAACACACAATATTAAAGCAAGATTATGTAACTATTGAAGGAGTAAATAAAGCATTCTTTCACTTAAATGATTAAAAGTTGAATTCATAAGCAGTAAAACACCATTGCTCAGCTCAATTTGCTTGGGTTACTTGGTCTGCTATGACCATTAGCTCGTGTTGGCTTATTCAATGCTCCATTATTCTGTAACGAAACGCTGTACCCCTCCCTAGAAAAGCCGCTGTCTTTGAGCACGATATCACGTATTTAGCTGGAAAGTGCCTATTTAGGACTACTGAAGAAGTAAACGAGTAAACTGGAAACATTCAAAGTTCTTCTGAGACATTTTCTACCAACTCATGAAGCTAATGTTAGCTCCATGCAAACTAAAATTGATGGTTTCCGGGTAAAAATGACAAGCCTGCTTCTGTCAACCTCTGTCTGAAAACAACGAGTCATTGTTTAAAAGTGACTAAGAACTCAAGTTCTGAGAGGTAAATTATCACTATTATCATTGTAAACTGACATAGCAACAGTAACTATGAGGGGTGGGGCTTAGCTTAGCTTTCAGTTCTTATTGTTTGTGATACTGGCAGCAGTTGTTGTTACCTCCTTAAGTCGCTCCATGTCCTTGAGGTAGAATCCAATGTAGAAAAGGCTAAGGTACGAATTAATGAATTCAAACTGTAAAACAACCACAGGAGAGAAACATAACAGAAAGTCAAACACACTCAAACAACATGAACTGTCTC